CACTCCCGCCGACTGTGTGCGGTCTAAGTCCTGTGAGGCGCACGTGCACGTCGTCGCATCGTCGGTTTAATTATTAAATCGCTGTTCGCCCTCTGTTGCACACTGAATGAGTGCCCCTTAAGATTTTCACTTTTACGCTTTAACCCATGTTTTGGCATTGCGTGTGTAGAGCTAAGAGGCCCACACGTCATAAAACCTAAGTTTGGTTTAAGTTGCTCCGGCTTGGGACTGCCTGCAACCTTACTCGGGCCGCACACAGCGTAACAAATTTTTTCACACCTGCGCTGTTTTCGTCCGTTATGTGCGTAAATTGATCGTGGATTTTGTGTTGGTGGGGTAAGGCAAAAAGCGTAGACCTCCGTTTTGTGCCGTCGACCTCCTACCTCTCGGGGGCGGCTGTTACGTTTGCTACAACCACAAGGACGAAGCTTTTGAAATCTTTTTGTCTAAACCTATACCGGACAACTCCGTAGACCAGAACCCTGCTCACCTGAAATGGTGCAACCTGACAACACAACATCTCCAAAAAAACAAACACACTATTACACACGAGTATAAATAAATAATAACGATATATCCCATATATGCATATATATATACTCCTCTCTCTCTCGAGACAAAGGTCGCTCGAGAAAATTAAGATAACAAAACCAACACACACTAAATTAAATTACAAATATTAAATTAATTAAACAAAATAAATAAATTAATATATAAAATGTATAATAAAAGTCGTAAGTAAACTTACAACTTACACAGTTATTTTTCCAATGCAACACTTTCCTACATGAACTTAACTACCACTAATATATCTAATAGCTAACTACAATTTTACCAGAATTTTGCCACCGGCCTTTTCTCATAATCAGCAAATAGCGCTTATTGAAGGGTCTTTTTACATAGCAGGTTGTGTAATTAATAGCCACTTTCCGGATCTTTCACACCCGACACAATAATGTGCATGTTGTTGAACGCGCTCGCGCTCTTTTAGCCAAACCAATTTTACACGCAGATATTTAGCTGTTTGAACTAAAACTAAACTATCTATACGTCGTTGATAGGTTCCCTGGTGCGTCATGTTCTACTCTTTCTAGTTGCACATGACTACTTGGAAGTCCACTAAGAAGCAGTGACGGGCGGGAGCGAGTGTGCAGTAAAGTGAAAAGAGGGACGGTCTCCCGAAAGTTACGGAAGTAGTAACAGTAGGAGGAGTTCCGCAGCTTTGGTCAGGTGCTCCCGAGGTTCTGGGCGTCAACACCTCACGAAGCGCGACGACCCACAGAACAGCCCTCACACGGCAAATTCGTCCTCGGTCTCGACACCCCCCACAAGAATCGCACACAAAGCCGTAAACAAACACTTATCTAAACGGCAATTTATCGAGCTCAGAAAAGTTATCGAGTCCATTTTTATTTATCGTAAGATAAGTCAATTTATCGATTATCGCGACAGGCCTAAGCACACTACAATAACATAAGAAAGAAAAGACAAGAATTTACAATAGAAATATAAAAACAAAACACAGGGAAATGTCAGGTGTCATGCGCCGCTCTGACTAGAAGGCCAGAGAGAAGAAGTGTGTCTTCAGTGAAGATTTAAAACCCCCTAGGGTCTGGGCCGACCTCACATGGAGGGGCAGAGTGTTCCAGAGCCTGGGGCCAGCTGCTGCGAAGGCTCGGTGCCCTCGGGTTTTGAGCCTGGTCTTGGGCACTATCAGCAACAGCTGGTCAGCGGACCTTAAAGCTCTGGCTGGGGTGTGGCGATGGAGGAGTTTGGCTATATAAGCAGGAGCCAGCCCATTTAGGGCTTTAAAAATAAATTAAATAATTTTAAAATCAATTCAGAACCGAATTGGAAGCGAGTGTATTGGGGTGATGTGGTCACGCTTTTTGTGGCCAGTGAGAAGACGTGCAGCTGCGTTCTGCACTAGCTGCAGGCGTCTAATTGAGGCCTGGTCCATACCCACATACAGAGCGTTGCAGTAGTCCAGTCTCGAGGTAACAAAGGCATTAATAACCCTTTCTAGGTCTTTAAAATATCAAAACAACTTGTCTTGGCCAATAGTCTTATTTTAAAAAATGATCTCAAATTAGATTATAATGGATAAGATTTAAGTTGTAATAAGATGCCCTTCTAATTTTCTATAACTCATCATGTTGTGCACTTCATGAAAAGGTATGCTGTGTATAAAATCAGAGCTTTTTGTTATTTGTTGAAATACCTTTTAAGGAATCATTGCAACTCTGCCTCAATCTATTGAAAGAAAAAAGATGTATATAACAACATATATTCACATGTTCCCACGTGCAGTGTGTTTTCCCCACTTTGAATAAAGAATTTGAACAAGTATAATTCATATTTCCTCCTTTTTTAAATTCAGGTTTCAGCAGCCCCGCCGTAAGCGATCGAATCCCGAGGAAGGATGGGATGTATGGCCAATACTTGGAGATGGTTGGAAACGCAAAGAAGTTATCCGGCGCTCAGGTTCTAGCATTGGACAGAAGGATGTATATTACATAAGGTAAATACCGCCTAGGAGAGTTGTAAAGAAATACCGTTGTTTTCAATTGCAGGGTGCAGAATATATAACTTATACTTTTACTCTGTGGTCTACAATGTTGATACTATGATGACATGTATTCTTGTTCTCTTTGTATTTTATAGTCAGTTAAACAAATGTGTGTGTGATGGCTGTGCAATGTGACACAACATAAAAGCTGATAACCACAAAGGAAACATTACAAATATTATTTAATACATTCTTTTATCCTGAATCAACTTGTTACTCTTAAAAAGTGTTGGTATAAGTTTTCCAAATGCCACGATTTTCATTTTTGTAGTTTAAAAATACAATTTTTTTCGTGCATTTTATGGACTAAACAATTTAATAATCGTTAGGAAAAATGCAGCCAATAAATTAAATTAAATAAAAGCCTTAATTCTTTTAAAGTTGTGGATGTGACTAGGTGACAACTGGATGGTCGTTTTTAGTGGTTGTCATTCCGCTCTGGGAGGTTGTAATTGTTTTTTTTGTGTCTTTGCAGTCCGCAAGGTGAACGAGTGAGAAGCCGCGTAGAGCTGACGTCAGTGTTGGAGGGAGTCGACCTGTCAACCTTTGAATACAAGTCAGGAAGGTTTGTCGCAGGCGGAGTCCCCCCCACGAGAGTCCGCATCAGAGCGAAGGTAACGGCCTCTTTCATCACTTCAAGCTCGAAACATTTAAGTTGTGCGAGCCTCACTGTAAACGTATCCTCTCTTTCTTATCCATTAGAGGAAGATCCCGGAGAGTTCATCCTCAGAGTCCAGCTTTGTGGAGAGAGGGGAGGGGGCCGACACCCCCGACTCTCTCCACAGACTCACCCCAAACCTGGCGCCCAAAACCGTCCCACCCCAACCGACCCTTTGGTTGGCACAGGGCACAGTAGTAATACCAGCACAAGAATATGTATATCCACCGGCGGAAAAGGAAATTAAACTTCCCCTTCCCTCATCATCCAGAGCACTCCCCCTCCCCTCTATAAACGGAGAAATCGGCTCAGAGGAAAACACACTGTTAGTCCATCATTAATTGTTTATATGTCAACCATTAAACACTGCTGATGTAATTAACAAGACACTTGAGTATTTCAGTTTAATGAGAGGGGTTTCTTTGTGGGCGATGTCACGTGCTGAGCGGTTTCGTGTTTCCCTGCAGGATTTGTTCCAGATGCGGTATTTCCTTCACAGGCACGTGGTATGATAAGCAAAGGAAGAGACCCTGCTGTCCCGCCTGCTGGGGTATGTCAGTTTGTGGTTGTGCAATGTGATGATTCTGAGGAAGTATAGCTTTTAGAAATTGTTGAAAAAAAATCATGGAAATAACCCATAATGTGTATTTGTTTTTAATTTCAGCCGCCTCCAAGACAAAAGTGCATCCGATGGTTCGATTCAGAAAGGTAGAGCATTGTCTCTCCACCAGTTGTATGAATGAACTGTTTAAATAGCCAAACGTTAGCATGTGGCTAATTGGGATTGTATAAATTACCCAGTATTTGAATGATGGATTCAGAATGTACATGGGTAAATGTTGGGTTTATATTAAGGTGTTGCGGAAATATACAGAACATTTATAATTAGACCCCCAAAAGAGAAAATGCCTTTATTTCCAGAGATTAAATGTGCGAAAAATACGGGAAGGAAAGGAAAGTGGGTATTAATGAATTATCCAACGTGCTTTCTTATTTATGTTCATGCTATTGGTAGTGGATTCCATGCGGGCAGTGTGTGGGATGCCTCAACACGGTCAACTGTGGGCACTGTGCCAACTGCAAGAATGGACTGCAGAGCCCAGAGTCGCGGAAACGCTTATGCCGGGGACGCAAATGTATTTGTCCTATTCGCAAGGTTAGCTTCCGGGTACTCATTAGTTTTTGTTTAGAGGTCTTCTGTTTGTTATGGTACTTTTGAATTCACGCTTTGTGTTATGTTCCCCCCAGAGCCCTGGAAGTGGGGGCTTCGTGCCGCAGCAGCCGTACAACGAAATTCCCGATGCCTTTGAAGAGTGCTTGAGTTTTCAGGTGAGCTAATTTAATAAAAATGTACATGTTGTACGCTCAAACAATGTTGTTAGAGAAATATCACTCGTCACCGTCTTGAGCTTCAATATCAGGATCCATGTATTTGTGATCCTCTCCAGAAAGTAGTCGTCACATACAGAGCATCAACTAGTTCCTGAACAGTGTCCTTCACATGCTGATATACAAGAGAGGGAGTTACACAGTCACAAGATGGAGGAATAGAAAGCAGTATTCAATGTTTAGCTCAGATTAGCTCCACGTCAGAAATGAGCATGCTTGTCATATGTCTCTCTCTATGTCCTCTGCCATGTGTTCTTCGTACACTACTCATGGCACATGCCTACATTAACTTTACAATAACCATTTTACATGTGTCACGTTTAACCCATAAGGACCACGGGTGTCACATGAACTTTAAATGTTCTGGAAAGTTCCTTATACAACTTTAGCATTTATTTTATCTCATGAAGTCTCTGAGTGACGCACACTGAACAGTCTGGTGGGTCATGGGCCAGGTCATGTTATCTGGTGTTCNCACACACACAAATCTGACTTTCTCTCAAAATTCTGACTTTTTCAGAAAATCTCAAAATTCTGACTTTTTCTCAAAATCTCAAAATTCTGACTTTTTCTCAAAATCTCAAAATTCGGACTTTCTCTCAAAATACTGACTTTTTCTCAAAATCTCAACATTCTGACTTTCTCTCAAAATACAGGTTTTTTTTCCTAAAAACACAGATTTCTTTTTCAAAATACAGATTTTTTTCTCAAAATCTCAAAATTATGACTTTTTCTAAAAATCTCTAAAAATGTTAATTTTCCCTGGTCCCCGGCTTGAGCTTGAATCTCAGGATCCATGTATCTGTGATCCTCTCCAGAATGGAAGTAGTCATCACATACAGAGCATCAACTAGTTCCTGAACAGTGTCCTTCACAAGAGAGGGAGTTACCCAGTCACTAGATGGAGGAATAGAAAGCAGTATTCAATGTTTACTTCAGATTAGCTCCACGTCAGAAATGAGCATGCTTGTCATATGTCTCTCTCCATAGAGGCTGAATCATCATGTTAATCACATAGCTATCATATGCCTCAAACAGTCCTGATGCTCTTCTAGGTAATCACACATCCTGTCATGTTCACAGCTACAGTTGGGATACCTTTGTTAGCATGTTGCTCTCATGTTGGAAGAGGACATTCAGGGTTTTCCCAACATAAAGTAAAAGGTGCAATGTCTCCCTTTTAATGTAGTGGAGTTGAAGTATGAAGTGAAAGGAAAGGAAAATACTAAACTCAAATTCCACAACTGCATTCAATCGCCACATGTGTTCTTCGTGCAAAAGCTTAGAATAGAAATGAATAAAGACGCCTTCAGGTTTTTATGGACTTTACATATGGACCCTGGTGTGTGTGTGTGTGTGTGTGTGTGTGTGTGTGTGTGTGTGTGTGTGTGTGTGTGTGTGTGTGTGTGTGTGTGTGTGTGTGTGTGTGTGATGACTTCTCCAGATGTTGTGTGGTTTCCTCTAGCATGATGTGTTTTAATAAGAGACAGCAGCGGGGCACCCTGATGTCAACATAATACACTCCATCCCTCCTGATATTCACATTACACCGATCATATGTATATTCACACCCACACCTGAGCGCAATAACACATGTCGGTCCTTTTAACATGCAACACACGCAACACACACACACACACACACACACACACACACACACACACACACACACACACACACACACACACACACACACACACACACACACACACACACACACACACACACACACACACACACACACACACACACACACAGACCTCCTCCAGAGTGTGTGTTCAACAATTAATGACTGAGGTTCATGGTGGAGTTCAGCGGCTGCTCACTGTGTATTATTTATATAGGACAATATATCACACATGTTACATTAGTCTCAGTGGACTTTACACTTTGTACAGAATGTCAATACGACCCCTCTGATCCCCCTCCCTCACAGAGAGCCAGCAGGACGCACTGGGTGTGTTCAAAGTGTCCGTAGTGGAGGCACCACTTCCAGTCTCATGATGTTTTATCTTCAGCTCCTGATAAGGCGTCCTCCGCTTCCCGGGTTTTCCTGATCTCCCCCTTCAGGGCGGGACCGCTGGTTCGTGGTTTCCACTGACGCACTCTCACATCCAGCAGCATTTAAACTGCATCCTGTCTGTCTCACAGTGACACACAGAGCATCAACTAGTTCCTGAACAGTGTCCTTCACATGCTGATATCCAAGAGAGGGAGTTCCACAGTCACAAGATGGAGGAATAGAAAGCAGTATTCAATGTTTACTTCAGATTAGCTCCACGTCAGAAATGANTGCCACGGGGCTTATGGAGGGTCAGAGCGTCCTGCAGACAGAGGAGGAGGAGGGTTAGAAAGATATCCCTCGTCACCGGCTTGAGTTTGAACCTCAGGATCCATGTTTCTGTGATCCTCTCCAGAATGGAAGGAGTCATCACATACAGAGCATCAACTAGTTCCTGAACAGTGTCCTTCACATGCTGATATCCAAGAGAGGGAGTTACACAGTCACAAGATGGAGGAATAGAAAGCAGTATTCAATGTTTACTTCAGATTAGCTCCACGTCAGAAATGAGCATGCTTAGTCATATGTCTCTCTCCATAGAGGCTGAATCATCATGTTAATCACATAGCTATCATATGCCTCAAACAGTCCTGA